CCAACTTGGGCAAGTTGTCTAATTTTGAAATCAGAAAAAAAAAAAAAAAAAAAATTAACAGCAAATTTAAAGAGATCATAACTCCTGAACTAAAAGCCTAAAGAAGTTAAAATTTTTTTTTTAATAGGCAAGTACCATAATCCAGAATTTCATTAAAATCTGAGATGGTGGTCATAGGACCATTGGTTGTCTTTCTTTATATTGTCCTTTTACAAATATATTTTTTTAGTTATATCTAAAATTTTATGCACACACACACACAGGGAAAATGATAAATAAATTTTTATATATCAAGAAACAAAATTTTTCTCAGGGGTCACTCTGCTTCATGTAGGTGCGTAGTTGCATCAACATAATGCTTTAGTTTGATTAAGTCCTAAAAGATGAAAGCCCTCACACAAAACATTTTTCCACTTTGTCATTTCAGTGCATTTCCCAGAGTAAAATCCTTTGAAATGCATCTAAATTAATAATAGCTGTATTCTATCAGTGATATTTGTAATCATTTCTGACCAGTGACAATCATTTGCTTTCTAGTTTTCATTGCACAACACAAATTGAATTTTGAAATTTGCTCAAACAAATATCTAAATAATAAAACTTTAAATTTTTGTCCTTGAACATTTCTCAAAAGTCAGAAATATTAAGGCAACTGTCATATTATAAGATGGCTTCCAAATGTTTTTATTAATTTGAAAAAATTGATAAAAAGCAACTGAAATTAAGATGAAAAATCTTTGTAGAAATATGAATAATATTAGGATCCGTAATTGTGATAAATTTTGATTTTAAACACAATGACTGTTGGTAAATATCCATTGTTAAAATAACTATCATCTCGTCTCTTAAAAATTTGTTACATCTTTTCCATTTATCATCTTCTTTGACCTTCCTCATCCATCTTAATGTAAGTGTCAGTTGGAATCCATTTGTCCAGAAATTAATATTGCGTACTGTCTGTCTGTGAGTCCATGGAATCTCTGTGATAAGATTTATGTGTCTTTTAAGCATAATGCATGTGAGTGGCACAAAGAGACGTAAAATTTATACACTCACAAACAAGAAACATTATCACCTTTAAGCTGTTACACACACTGTCCCCAACCCCCCAAGTAGTGAAGAAGAGGAAACATCCAGAAGAGATGGAAAGGTTACAAGTTAGATATAGAGATTTTGGTTGGTGTTGTGTCGGAATGTGTCCTTAGCAAGGTGGAAAGTAAAAGGTAATATGTTGCAGAGGATCGGTGTCTACTTGTCCCTTCCCTTGCTAGCTGCTGGAAGCATTGCTTGATAAATCATCACAACTTCTTGTGGATTAATAGCAGAGACAGCCAATCTGTCAGCAAACATGTTCAACTCACACAACACACACCACTTATGACTACGGGGCCTATCAGCTTCTTACCATCCCTTATAATCAAATAGAAAACTTTGGCGCCAAGTGTCCACGGCCTGAGACCACATCTCTGTATAAGAAATGGATTTAGAGATAGTCGAAGAAAAGATTCATGAGAGAATAAAAATGCATCACTTGTCAATTCTAGCCTTCAACAATTGTTACATTCAAATTAACATAGAATCACATTTGTTTGTAAAGTGGTGGGCATCTACAAGTTTATCTTGCAGTCATGTCAGCCTTGGGGGAAGAAGAGACTCTTACCTATCAAAACTGTATACTTTAATAGTCAACTAGTATTGTACATATAAAAGAGTGGTAGGATTAACCATGGATTGCCATTCCTGCCTAAAATTAATGTAACAGCTGTGTACCCTTATATAAATTGTGTGCATTTAGGCAGCAATTTTCATTGATGTATGTTTCATTAAATAATATAGAAAGTTTTGTCTATTTATTTTAAGTAAGTTCCTAACCTGAACAAAATAAATTATGAAATCTCAACAAATATTCTTAAATGCCTATAATTGATAACAGAAGCCATTGGTTTATACCAACGGCTTCCCATACTTAATACTTCTCGTTTTCACTCTCGCATGGTTATGTGTGACAATACAAGTTGTGGTGCGAGTTTTGCTTCTGCATCTCGTATACACGAGTTTGTCGTTGCTTTGAAATTTTTCATGCAGCAAAAACTATCATTATTGTTTTGTCCATGTATTGTTTGATATATTGAAATGTAATTGTCATCTTTGATAATGGCTTATGTAAGCTGAAAGTTTAGATAGGATTAAAACATGTATCAATATGGTGATTTCCTTTCGTCTTTCAATGATAATGTTATTAAGCTTATCAGACAATATGAAAGGGACTTACTTAAAATAAATAAACAAAACTTGTCTATATTATTTAATGAAATGTGCATCAATATATATGTGTGTGGGGGGGAGGATTTAAAGAAAGCTATGAAAACCATTGCTGCCACACATGTCCAGTGCTCCTGCTATTCATCTAGAGCTCCTTGATAAAATCCAAAGAAGAATCAGCAATATTATGTGGCTCTGATATGGTTTCTTGGCTTCAGTCACTTTCCCCACTACTGTAAGGTTGCCTTCCTGTTCCTTGTCTATAAATAATGGCAATTGTTTTGATGATCTCTTCACATGTTGCCTTGACCTTTTGAATTTAGGTGCAGTAAATAAACTGGCATCAAGATCTCATCAATTTATAGTTGAGTTGGCTAAATGTAACCAGAAATTCTATGCTAACAGTTTTTTTTTTTTTTTGCACTTCACACTTGTGAAACTCTTTTCCAGCTTTGTGTTTGCCAGCCAAATTTAATCTTTAAAAATTTAAATATAATGTCAATCACTATCTACTGTCCTCCTGATTACTCTTCCTTTGTTCTCACACTCCTTAGTAATGATTCTGTTTTTAATTCTTCCACACCCAGTAACCCATTGTGTCTTAGTGATTTTACTGCCTTGCTTGGAGTGAACTGGACTAAAAAAAAATATACTATTCTTTAAATACTAAAAGGTAAAAAAATATCTCTGTTAAATTGTATATGGGAACTAAAGCTGAAAGGGAACACACCATTAGTAGAATAGTATATAATAAAAAATGAAGACAGAGTGATAGACCAAAATTGCAATCTATATATGGAGCAGAAATTACAAATTACAGAATTTAAGAATATGAAAGCTTTAATAAACAAAAGAATTAAATTGTTTTGAACTTTGAAAACATTATTAAAAAAAGAAAAACAGATTGATCTAGAGAGTGTCCAAGATAAACAAGATTTCATTTCAAAAATAGTTCACACACACACACACACAATAATATAAAGATAGCTGTTGGCTTTAGAAATGATAGAAGTATGAACTATTGAATTATACATTTTAGGGATTACCTATTTAATCTACATCACATAAACAATAAAAAGAATTTCTTTACTCAAGTTGATGTAATTATAGTGATGTAATGGAATAACCTGTCATCCCCATGAGTGACTACACTATAGGTAGTAACTTCCTATAAGTATCTGCAAGTCAATGGTCTACAGAGACTAGCTTAGATCTGTCGAGTACAACTCAGACTTATGCGAGAACTACTGACCTTCCAATAGTAGCACTCACTACTGGATTGACTTGCAACAACCTTGTGCATAACTGTTACCTTTATTCTTATTGTACTGGTTTTTACAATAAACCTTTACTTATTTTATCCACCTTGTTTTTCAAGTATATATTCCTATTAGCATGGAACACAACAAAGAAAATAATTAACATGTTCATTTCCTGAATTTTTATTTCATTATTTAGAGAAAAATTAACTCAGAACAATTACATTTTTCAATGAAATAAAGTATTTCTGACCAGATTTTCTATATGTTATCAGTTTATATAATCTGTAAGATGACATGTTGGTTTTATTAAATAAATGCACATTCAAACTCATCCACTTTTATGCTTTTGAATTCAACATGCATTAACATAGTTTCAGATTGTATTGCTACCTGCTGACTTTATCCCTAATCTACTGTTCCTTTGACTTACCAAAGAAAATAACTAAATCTAACAAATGAAATATATCTGGTTGTAGAGAAAAAAATTTTGTGAATAAATTTGGCAATTTTTTACCTAAAATTATTTTAAACAATGTTAGGCACTGAATATCAGAAAAAAGTAGATTATTAATGGTCGGAAATTAAAGCAAGATTCACTGAAAGAGCATCTATAATAATTGACGTATATACACACGCATAAGCCAAATTCCTATTTTCCATGAATTTTAACCCCTCCAGAAAAAAATTTACCTGTGTATAGTGCCCCCTCCCCATTTTTTTCACATAAAAAAAAAAAAAATGATCATAAAATCTTGCACTATACTCAAGTATATACAGTAATAAATAATTTTGTTGACCTTGGGATATGATGTTACAAACCAAATGTGGGACCATTGTAAAAAAGAAACTGACTCAGAATTATTCTTCAAATTGGTAAGTTCATTGTCAATGTTATTGTTGCCCCAAACATATGGTTATCAATCTACTACTAAGTTAAAGCAATTAACCAAAATGGTAATATTGCAAACAGAAAAAAAAAAAAAAATTCTATTCCCACCTATTATTATTTTAACCAATGAAGAAAAGTTCAACTTTATAAAATCTGACCAATGACAAAATATCACAATTAAAAAAAAAAAAAAAAAAAATCTTTTCTGGGTACAAAGCCTTGAACTTTTTGCCCCACCTGCCTCACCCATTCTTATTACTAAACAGATCTATACATTTAAGTAGCAGAGTTACAACTGCAGCCTGCAAAAGTCAGTAGAGCTCTAAAATATTCAGGAGACACTCCAATGCTTCCATGGACTAATCCTAGCTGAGAATTTGTACTTGTGTAGCATCTTGTGGTCACAACCAAGATGAACTGTTCTGATAGCCATTATGGTCAGAATACTAAATAAAAAAGCTGATCAGTTGAAAGATATGGGAAATTTCACCAGTTATCTTCTTTTACTTTTTTGTGAATATGTGAAGAACTTTAGGAATTTTTGAAATTTTAAAATAAAAATAAAAATAAACAGTAAAAGAATAAAGTTACCAATATCTGTAGATCAGAGAGAAAGTAAGGGGATAAGAGAAAATAGAGAGAGAGAGATAAAAAGAGAGGAGAGAGAGAGAGAGATAAAAAGAGAGGAGAGAGAGAGAGAGATAAAAAGAGAGGAGAGAGAGAGAGATAAAAAGAGAGGAGAGAGAGAGAGAGATAAAAAGAGAGGAGAGAGAGAGAAAGAAAGAAGAGAGAGGAGAACAAGAAATGAGAGAGAGAGAGAGAAGAGAACAAGAAATGAGAGAGAGAGAGAGAGAGAGAGGAGAACAAGAAATGAGAGAGAGAGAGAGAGGAGAACAAGAAATGAGAGAGAGAGAGAGGAGAACAAGAAATGAGAGAGAGAGAGAGAGGAGAACAAGAAATGAGAGAGAGAGAGAGGAGAACAAGAAATGAGAGAGAGAGGAGAAAAAGAAATGAGAGAGAGAGGAGAAAAAGAAATGAGAGAGAGAGGAGAAAAGAAATGAGAGAGAGAGAGGAGAAAAGAAATGAGAGAGAGAGAGAGGAGAAAAGAAATGAGAGAGAGAGAGAGAGGAAAAAGAAATGAGAGAGGAGAAAAGGAAATGAGAGAGGAGAAAAGGAAATGAGAGAGGAGAAAAAGAAATGAGAGAGAGAGGAGAAAAGGAAATGAGAGAGAGAGGAGAAAAGGAAATGAGAGAGAGAGGAGAAAAGGAAATGAGAGAGAGAGGAGAAAAGGAAATGAGAGAGAGAGGAGAAAAGGAAATGAGAGAGAGAGGAGAAAAAGAAATGAGAGAGAGAGAGAGAGGAGAAAAAGAAATGAGAGAGAGAGAGAGGAGAAAAAGAAATGAGAACAAGAAATGAGAGAGAGAGAGGAGAACAAGAAATGAGAGAGAAAGGAGAACAAGAAATGAGAGAGAGAGAGAGGAGAACAAGAAATGAGAGAGAGAGAGAGGAGAACAAGAAATGAGAGAGAGAAAGAGGAGAACAAGAAATGAGAGAGAGAGGAGAACAAAAAATGAGAGAGAGAGTGGAGAAAAAGAAATGAGAGAGAGAGTGGAGAAAAAGAAATGAGAGAGAGAGTGGAGAAAAAGAAATGAGAGAGAGAGTGGAGAAAAAGAAATGAGAGAGAGAGAGGAGAAAAAGAAATGAGAGAGAGGAGAAAAAGAAATGAAAGAGGAGAAAAAGAAATGAAAGAGGAGAAAAGGAAATGAAAGAGGAGAAAAGGAAATGAGAGAGAGAGAGAAAAGGAAATGAGAGAGAGAGGAGAAAAGGAAATGAGAGAGAGAGGAGAAAAGGAAATGAGAGAGAGAGGAGAAAAGGAAATGAGAGAGAGAGGAGAAAAGGAAATGAGAGAGAGAGGAGAAAAGGAAATGAGAGAGAGAGGAGAAAAGGAAATGAGAGAGAGAGAGAAGAGAAAAAGAAATGAGAGAGAGAGAGAGAGAAAAGAAATGAGAACAAGAATGAGAGAGAGAGAGAGGAGAACAAGAAATGAGAGAGAGAGAGAGGAGAACAAGAAATGAGAGAGAGAGAGAGGAGAACAAGAAATGAGAGAGAGAGAGGAGAACAAGAAATGAGAGAGAGAGAGAGGAGAACAAGAAATGAGAGAGAGAGAGAGGAGAACAAGAAATGAGAGAGAGAGAGAGGAGAACAAGAAAGAGAGAGAGAGAGGAGAACAAGTAATGAGAGAGAGAGAGAGAACAAGAAATGAGAGAGAGAGAGAGGAGAACAAGAAATGAGAGAGAGAGAGAGGGAGAACAAGAAATGAGAGAGAGAGAGAGAGGAGAACAAGAAATGAGAGAGAGAAAGAGGAGAACAAGAAATGAGAGAGAGAAAGAGGAGAACAAGAAATGAGAGAGAGAAAGAGAGAACAAGAAATGAGAGAGAAAGAGGAGAACAAGAAATGAGAGAGAGAGAGGAGAAAAAGAAATGAGAGAGAGAGAGGAGAAAAAGAAATGAGAGAGAGAGAGGAGAAAAAGAAATGAGAGAGAGGAGAAAAAGAAATGAGAGAGATAGAGGAGAAAAAGAAATGAGAGAGAGAGGAGAAAAGGAAATGAGAGAGAGAGGAGAAAAGGAAATGAGAGAGAGAGGAGAAAAAGAAATGAGAGAGAGGAGAAAAAGAGAGAGAGAGAGAGAGAGAGAGAAAAAGAAAGAGAGAGAGAGAGAAAGAAATGAGAGAGAGAGGAGAAAAGAAATGAGAGAGAGAGGAGAAAAAGATGAGAGAGAGAGAGAGGAGAAAAAGAATGAGAGAGAGAGAGAGGAGAAAAAGAAATGAGAGAGAGAGAGAGAGAGAAAAGAAATGAGAGAGAGAGAGAGAGGAGAAAAAGAAATGAGAGAGAGAGAGAGGAGAAAAAGAAATGAGAGAGAGAGAGAGAGAAAAGAAAGAGAGAGAGAGAAGGAGAAAAGAAATGAGAGAGAGAGAGAAAAAAGAAAATGAGAGAGAGAGAGAGAGAGAGGAGAAAAAGAAATGAGAGAGAGAGAGAGGAGAAAAAGAAATGAGAGAGAGAGAGAGGAGAAAAAGAAATGAGAGAGAGAGAGAGGAGAAAAAGAAATGAGAGAGAGAGAGAGAAAAGAAAAGAAAGAGAGAGAGAGAGAAAAGAAATGAGAGAGAGAGTAGAAAAAGAAATGAGAGAGAGAGTAGAAAAAGAAATGAGAGAGAGAGGAGAAAAAGAAATGAGAGAGAGAGAGGTGAAAAAGAAATGAGAGAGAGAGAGGAGAAAAAGAAATGAGAGAGAGAGAGAGAGGAGAAAAAGAAATGAGAGAGAGAGGAGAAAAGAAATGAGAGAGAGAGGAGAAAAAGAAATGAGAGAGAGAGGAGAAAAAGAAAAAGAAATGAGAGAGGAGAAAAAGAAAGAGATGAGAATAAACAAGAAGACAGTCTTCTTATCTCAGCCCAAAATCATCTGTAGATTTTTTTTTTCTGCTCGTTTCACATGAAAAGGAGATAAAAGTTCTTAGAAAGATTTTCTCTTGGAGAGAATCCTGCAATTTATATTTAGTGCCACAGCCACAATCATAAACATAGCAGTAACTCATGACTGAGTCACTTTTCTGGCAAAGCAAAGAGGATAATTTATTGACTCTAATGTGTACATTATTGAACATTCAAAAGGTGAAAGGCTAAATTATGCTGCATAAATGATACAGAATAAATTCTTGGCAAGATATGAGAATTTCAAATGATGTTTATTATATGGCTTCACACCATTCTGTTACTAAAGAAAGCAAAGAGAAAATCTTTGGGGAATTTCAGGGCCTACCTTTCTGGATATGGAAGATATTTTTCATATTATTATCAAATGTCATCTAAGCTCTTTTTGCAGTTGATCAGACCTGTTCCCTAGAGTCTATGAAAGCAAAATTCAAGGCCTCATCTGAAAAGTAAAGAGGGTGGGTATAAAATAAGGAGCAAAAGAAGTAGATTCTAGTGAATAAAGACAAAATCTTCAGGAAGAGCTTAATGCTCTGCCTTTCTACATTTCATTTACAAGATGTATTGATTAACTAGTACTTATTGAATTTGGACCCTTGTGATTACAGCTAAAGATTAGGTTTATCTTTCACAAGCTCTAAGTTCCATCTCGTGCAGGAAATTGTTGCTGTTATTGTATCTATTTCTCAGTTTGGCATTTATTAAATACCATGCCTGATATTGTGTATTGCATTATCGCTAACCAGAGGCTAAAGACTAATAGATATTTATTGTCCCCTATAAAGAGGAGAAAATCTCCCTTTCTCAGCCACAACCATCACTGTTCTGCTGCCTTTAGGAAGAAAACGGAATCATGAGAAGGGAGATAAAGAGTTAAGCTATTAGTAGATTATAGTCATTCCACAGAGAAATGCCCCTAATGAAATAGTAAAGAAAAGACCACCTGGTTTCAATAGGAAGAAATTGATTAATAAGAGCCTGCAAGTCACTAATCACAGCTCAGGTAATGACACTATCATTATCTGATGAGTAGCATGAAAACAGAGACAGGAATGAGATTGACTTATCAGAATCTGAAAATACCGGGGATGAAAAGAGACTTTCCTCAGGTAATAATCAATATTTAATATGAATATTGTTGACAACAAAAACAAATACAAATACTATGAATACAAACTAATTTTTTTTTTTTTTTTTTAATTATAAATATAAAATTTGATTAAATAGATAATGAAAATAGAAAAAGAACAATTCAAAGATCAATTGACGGCTGTGGAGGGGGTCATTAGATTTAATATTTCTTAGGTTGTCTGTAAAGTTCCAGAGAATTTATCAAAGAAAATAATTTTCCAATTAAAATTAAGAAAAATTGAATAAAAAATACTCATGCTCAATATGCATTGGTAGTTTATTTATATAATTAGTATGAAGTATTCATTCAGTCTCTTCTTAAAAGCTTCCAATTGGTAAGTTAAAGTTTGCTGCAAGGAATCTGGCTGGCATCTCATTTTTTTTACCATTTTTCTTTGATAAACACTTGTAACCTATTTTCTTAATTGAAACTTCCACTTACCAAAATTTTAAAGCAGAAATCTTATTCTTTTTTCTTTAAGAGAAATTTTGTCCAGAATATGGTCTCTATATTCTTTGCAAATACAACTTTATAGTGGCCCACTTTAAATGCAGGCATAAAAAATATGGTAAAAGGAAAACCTTCAATTGTTCTGTTTAATGAAGTGAATGCTAAAGAAGTTATGGTTTTAGTAAATAATCATATTTCAAAATATCAAAAATAAATTTGATGTTTTCAAAAATGTCAAGATTAAAATGTGGTTTTATTACTGAACAAAAGTATCTTGAACTTATATATATATATATATATATATATATATATATCTCAGAACAATTAAGAAACAGTTAAGAAAGTTAACGACCAAAACTTTTTACGCTAACATTAATTTTCTCATATATATATATATATATATATATATATATATATGCACATTATGAAATGGACACAGTTCGACAATTATTTAAGACATTTTTTAATGTTTATACGTTCTTTTTATAGATACAAATATTTAAGTAAATGCTCTGTTTATA